TAGTAATTAGTTTTTAAATACGTATATTGAAAAACTGATGATTGTTTTCTGATTTGTGGTTTTCGTTCTATTTTCTGTCGGCTGATGTTCCGTTTTTCATTAAATTGCAAATAAAATTGTGTTAAGTTTTTTCAAGCAATTTTTTTCCTACGCTTGGCTTTTTTTTAAAGAAATCATACAATAATTGAAAACTACTATCTGATTTTGATTAAAACTTTTGAATTTATCTTTTTGGTTAAACTTATCTTATATCAGAATAGTCTACCAAACTTGCGTAGCTTCATGAAATTTTTTTACTGCTTTGTGTGTTTCAAGAGAAATGGATTGTAGAGCTTTGAGTTTTTATTTTCAAATTTTTGCTTTCAACAGTTTGATAGCTCTAAATTGATTAATGACTTCAGTTTCGTTTCCCGATTAACGATGGTGGAAACAAGTTTTGCCGCCATAATTGAAAATCGGCCATTGGTTCTCAGTGCTTGTTAGGGCTGCTTATAAACATCAGCAAAGGCAGTTACAAATACTTCTTAGATGTTGTGTTTTCGAGATTTTTCCAATAATTTTTTCAGCTCAATTTTTGTAAGTTAATCATTTTACATTTTTTCTTTAAAAAACGTGTTATGCAGTTTTGATTGTATCCGAGTTCTGATCTCGGAGACAGCAGCAAAACTCTAAATAAATCTATGATCTTAATTGATAATAATGGAATAAATGGAGAAAATTAATCACATTTCATCCGAAGTTATAATTACTTTGGCGATCAGCAAATGTATTGCAATGGGGTACTGGATTTTTATTTTCGTATATAACTTTGTCCCTAGAATCGTTAAAATGGAAAAAATTAGGCTGTTTATAAATAATTTAATCTTTTTTGAGCCTTCGGCAAATTTTGAGTCTTCGGGAAAATCCATTTCAAAAAATTGTTAGCTTATTTTGTGTCTGCTTATTTTATGCCTGCTTAGTAACCACATCGTGGAAACGTTTTTTTTTTACATCAAAGCAAAACGCAATTACATCAAAGTTGCTTTTATTGTTTTGACTTGATACTGCTGTTTGTAATTTTGTTAACCTTGAATTTGTTTTTTTTTAAAATTCTTCATTGATTAAGAATTATTTTCTGTCCAAATTATTTTGGCAATTTTGTTGGCTTGAAAACGCCTCTTAAGCAAATTTATCATTCGACAGTCTTCACATTTTTGCCAAAAAACCAGACATCAAAGCAAAGCTTTGAAGCTTTTGCGATATAACGAAAACATTGCAGGACAAGATAATTTATATATATATATATATATATATATATATATATATATATATATATATATATATATATATATTTAAATCCACTTTTTTCAAAAAACTTAAGATTTGAAAATAACTTGAGAAAGTTTAAAAATTCTACTTGCAAAACACTTACTTTTGTCTTTGTCTCGGATGAATTTCATAAAAAGCGTTAAAAAACACAGAAAATCAATGAACGAGCGCCAACTAAGGCAAAATTAAGGCCAAACAAAATACTTTTGATCGACCCTTGATAAACCGAAAACGTAACAAGACAAAAAAATCAATCTATAAAATTTTACGAAATTTTTTACGATTATCTCTCCAAAAATAGGCGAACGCATTCAACATAATTTGTTTTCAAAACACCGCATCATAAATTGACTGAGCCGATTTAAGATAAGCCGAAGCCTTTTAACTAGAAGAAATGGGGAAAAAACGTTTTAAGTTAGAGTTAATAAATTTAAACTGCAGAGAAACTTATAATTTAAGTAAAAACTGTTCATATCAAGAGTTTGAAAGCCCAGTTTTGTAAGGTCAGTACTTGAAAGTCCACCAGATAAATTTGTATGCAAAAAAAAATTGTAATCGCAAACTAGATTTTTTCCAGTGAACAGTTTTTATATATATTACAACTGAAAGTCACTGCACTGCCTGCTCATATTTTTTACATTGTAGAAACTGGCATGCTTAAATTCTTTTAAATTCAAATAAAACTACCTCTTAGATCATTTTATGTAGAGGTTAATGTTTCAAATACATATATTGAAAGAGTGTTGATTGTTTTCGGATTTGTGATAAGTGTCCTATTTTCTGTCGGCAGATTTTTCGTTTTTTTTTGTAGCTGCAATAAAACGTGTGTTAAGCTTTCAAGCAATTTCTTCCCGATGATTGGGGCTGTTTTATTCAAACAATTTACACTATAATTGAAAGTTATCATCTGATTTTGATAGAAATTTTTCAAAAAAAATTGTTAAGATTATCTTATATCGGCATAGTCAATTTAATTTGCGTAAGCTTATGGGGTGTTTTCATTGTTTTTCGCGTTTCAGGAGCTTTGGGTGGTAGAATTTTCAATTTTTTTTCAAATTTTTGATTGCTACACTTTGATAGCTCTAAATTTTTTTGAGACTACAGTTTTGTTTCCGGAGTGCTTGTTAGGGCTGTTTATGACCATCATCAGAGACACGAAATTTCTATAGATGTTTTTTCGACTAATTTCAAGTAATTGTTGAGCTTCATTTTTCTAAATTAATCTGTTACGTTTTTCTTTACAATATCGTGTAATGCACTGTTTTGATTGTATCTGTGTTCCAATCTCAGTGACAGCAGCAAAAGTCTAATTAAATCTATGGTCATTATTGATGATTATGGGATAACTGGAGAAAACTAATCACATTTCATCTGCAGTTATAATTACCTTGCCATAAGCATGGGTTTTGCAATTGGGTTTTTGATTTTTCTTTTGGTAAATAACTTTGTCACTAGAATGGTTAAATGGAAAAAAGGGCAGTTTACAATTAATTGAAACTTTTTGAGTCTTCGGCCCACTTGGTTTGAACGTAAAGAATACAACTGGGACGGCAAAGATCCTGGATTTGAATCTGAAAGGACCTGTTATTTTTCAAACGGAAAATTCTGTTTCAAAATTTTTTAAGCTTCCTATATGTCTGTTTATGTTATGCTTGCTTAGTAGCCACATCGAGGAATTGTTTTTGTGCAATAATTAATTTACATTGAACTTGCTTCTTGTGATTCGACTTACTTCTGCTGTTTGCAATTCTGTTTTGCAAAATAACCACTCAGGCAAAGCTAAGCTTCGCAGCACTTGCGATTTAATTAAAACATTGGAGTACAAGATATTGAAAAAAAAGATAAAAGTCTCATTTTTAAAAAAAAATCATGATGAAATAATAAACTCAAAAACAGAAGAAAAATTCTACCTGCAAAAATCTCATACTTTTGTCTCGGATGATTTTCATAAATAACCTAAACAATGAAAATCAATGACCGAGCGGCAACTAATGCGGAAAAACTGGTCGACTCTCGATAAGCCGAAGACGAAACAAGACAGAAAACATTCAATCTCAAAAAAAAACTTGACGAAAATTTTTACGAGCATCCCTCCAAAAACAAGCAAACGCATTTAAGACAATTCGCTTTCGAAATTGCGCATCATAAATTGACTGAGCCAATTTAACATAATTTGAACCCGTTTAACTGAAAAAACTTTTTCAAAAAATTGAAATCAAAGTTGATAAACTTTAACTGCATAGCAATTTTTATTTTCCTGTGAAAGCTGTTCAAATCAAAAATAGAAAAACCCCAGCTTCATGAAGTAAGTGTCTGAAAAGCGTACCAGATAATTATAATCGCAGAAGAGATTGCAATCGGGAACTAGACATTTTCCAGTAATTTGACATGCAAAAGTTCTTGAAAAATCGAAAAAAACTACTTCTTAGCCCATTTTCAGGTATAAATAATTTTTTTAAACATATCTCGAGAAAAATTTTTCCGTTTTTTTGTAACTGAAAATGAATTCGGTTGTGCTTTTCCAACAGCTTATACTATATTTGAAAGCTACCATCTAATTTTGAATAATTTTATTCATTTTTCTTTGGTTAAACTTATCCTATATTGACTTAGTTAACTTATTTTGCGCACCTTCAAGGGGAATTTTTTAAAATGCTTTTGCTAGATTTGGGAGGGCTGTGTTGTTCAGTTTCATGCTTGAATTTTCAAATTTTTGTGTTCTATGTTTTGATGGCTAATTATTTTTTTTGACAGCCGTTTGATTTCTCGCCTAACGATAGTTGAGTCAATGTTTTTTGCCTTAAATGTCACTCGGCCATTGATTTTCAGTGCTTGTTAGGGCTTTTCATGAAAATCATCCGCGACAGTTACAAAGTTTTTATAGATGTTTTTCAGCTTAAAATCACTCGGTTTAATTTGTTTCTTTACATTTAATAAAGTTTAATTTACTGTTTTCATTGTATCGCAACTGTGTGTTCCCAGGATGTAATGGCTAGCTCCTTGGACTCTGAAGAAAGATCCGAATTCCGATTTCTGTGACAGCAGCAAACATCTAATAAAATCTTTGGTCCTAATTGATGCTTATGGGATACGTGGAGTAAATTAATGACATTTCATCCGAAGTTAAAATTCCCGTTGCAATCAGCAAGGGTATTGCAATCGAGTTTTTCATGACAATTTGGTTTTCTGTTCTACGTGAATTTACCCAAGTTTTGTCGGGTCAGTTGGCACTCGATAACTGTTTTTAGATTTTAAACCCCTTCGATTATTTCTGGACGCCGTCGATTTAAACGCCGTAAATATATATTTTTTTTAGGACTTAGGAACCTATCTGCTGGCGTGCAATACTGTTTTTATGGGGTATCGCAAGCGATGCGAAGCTTCGCTTCGCCTGTGCATAAATTCCATTTGAAAAAAGGGAAAACCAGCCGATAGAAATTAGAACTAAAACCACAAATCTGAGAAAAAATTTACATTTTTCAAATAATGTTTGAAAAAATTAATTACAACTCATTTGAACTAATTAGTTGCATTTGAATTTTCAAGAAAATGAGCATTTCAACAGAATATATAACACAAGTTGCTAACGGAAAAAAATCTTGTTCCCGCTTAAAGTCATTTGCTCTAGCAAGGGAAATAAATATTTGCACTTTCCCGCAAACGCTCCAACAAAGCACTCGAAAATCGAAACCTGGTTTGAAACATTAAATTATAATTGCGCAGCAATATAAGAAACAGTTGTTCATACATGGTATTTAACATATAACTTTACATCAGCGACAAAATTTTAACTTCAGACTTAATGTGAACACACGTCTCTGCCAATAATCTCTTCATTAGTTAATGTCTTGAGTTCATGAGTCATGCGTTCGTTGCAACCAGTAACTCTTAAATCAATTAAAATATAGCTTTGAACAGACAATAACTAATTTTTCTTTTACAGAAAGCATTCTATTTTGCAAGAATGTGATAAACGTATTGAAATTTCTTGTTTGTTTGATAGGTGAAAATATAATAATCAAAAAGTAGATCTCTCGCGGTTTGCAACATCAGAAAAAGTTCTCAATGCTCAATTGTTCAATTCCAGTGTTTAGAAAATATACATCCAATTTTGAGTATTTCAGTCGACTTCGTTTTCGTAACTCGGTGCACCTGCCTGACCATTTCCGTCCACTTCCATCGCTTCGCCGCCATCTGCCGGACTCTTTGGTCCTTCGTTCGGTGGAGCGTCGGCTGTTTTGCCGTCGGCTTCGTCGTTCGCAGGATGTTCTGTCGGAGGTGGGGCAGGCGGCTCCACTTTTGGTTTCGGCTTCGTCACAATGGAATGGCACGAGCTGTCTAGATTTCGACACTCCTCGTTGATTGCCGACACCAGAATAGGAGGATCCTGATGTTTTTCAAGTTTTCCCAACTTGTTACAAGCGTCTTCGAACCATTTGGTTTTTGCATCCACTGTCTTTTTGACTTTCTTCATGTCTTCCTCGCTTATATGCTCATATTCAGGTGCTTTATGTGCGTACTTATCCAGAATTTTGTTATAATGCTGAATTCTAGAACCCAACTTTTCCAAAACTGTCGGCCGAGTTTCGAACTCTATCTTTCTTGTAATCACAGGATTTCCCAATTTTCTCATCTCTTCCAACTTTTTCATGTATACCGTTTTATCGACATTTTCGCCTTCCTCAAATAGCCAATCTTCTGCTCGGAACAATAACGACTTCAAATCGTCGGCAGCGCTTTCTTTAATATATTCGCTCAGCTCCTCGTCGATCTGTCTTCTTAGATCAAGTATATACTCTTCCAAAGCATTTTTGGAATCAGCCTTCTCTTTTTCGATCAAAATTGTGGCCTGGAAAGTTGACTCAACAGATTTCAACTCGTTGAGCTTGTCTGAGTTCATTGATGCAACGTTATGCTTTACGGGGAGACTCACATTTCTGACCTTGGTCTTCTTTCTCGAGACTTGTTCGTTGGCAGTTTGGGGTTCCTTGGGCTGTTCTGGATCAGCAGTCGGATCTCCATTACCATCCATAGCCTGGTCTTCCTTCGCTTCCCCATTCGTCATCGACTCGTCTTTCACTGGATTCTCTTCTCCATTTTGCTCCTCAACCGTTTCCGCTTTCGTTGGGCTTGCAGCTTGTTGTTCTTCTTTCTCGTCAACCTTTTCGACACATACTGCTTCGTTTACATTGAAGATGCCATGTTTATTCAGGTGCAACTTGACTTTGACCTTGGAAGGAGATCCATCAGGCGCGGGATTCACGTCATGAATCGTGAAACTTCCTATGTACGGGTTACTGTAAGGTACGTAGTTAGGGTAAGAATACATAGCTTCTATATCAAATGTATCCTTCCTGTAGAAGGTGAGCATCTTAGTCGCAGGATACAAATGCAAGTAGGGGAAAACTTCAATCATGCCGTCCTTCTCAGAGACGGGTTTCCATTTCAAAGTAATCGGATACTGGCAAACATCTGTGATGTTCCATTTATGCTGCACCTGGGATGCACTGGAGAGCATTGCACATTGCAAAGCGCACCCTCGCGCTACTGACTCATCTGCGTTCAAAGTCGTACTTGGTTCCATGCCAAAAACCTCCTGTACTATACTTTTGAAAAGCGCCACTCGACTTGATCCACCCACAACTTCTACTGAGTGCAATTGATTTGCTTCGAGTCCAGCATACTTCATTATTTCCTTCAACTTGATTCGAATTTTTTCAAAGATAGGCCTGCATATCTCTTCCATTTCATCGCGAGACATGCCCCCGCTCACATCAATGTCATCCATGAAACATTCTATGGATAGTGGGAGCTTCTGTTTATTTGCACTCATGAGTACTTTCAGTTTCTCGCATTCGCCTGTCAGTTTCAAAAAGGGTCGCACCTGGCTCATTGGCTGGATTTTGTATTTCTGCTCGAACGATTCTGAAATTGCAGTGGTTATCATCTGATCAATGGTCTTTCCTCCGACACACACTTCGCTTACAGTGGCCAGCACCTTGATTGAGCCCTTGTTAAAGGCCACTGCACTAACTTGTAATGACGAGTGCCCGAAGTCCACGAAAACCACATTCCTCGCAGCCTCCGTGGGTAGAGGCAACTCTTTCTTGTAAAAGCCATAGCACAAAGCAGTCGCCGTAGTGTCATTCATTAGACGCAGACAATTCAACTCAGCTATTCTTGAAGCATCTAGCAGCGCTCGTCTCTCGATATCAGTATAAAAAGTGGGCACCGAAATCACACAGTCTACTACACGCTTCATCAAAGCATTTTCTGCGATCGTCTTCAACTTCACCAGAAGAGCAGCCATGATCTGCGTAACAGTGACCGTAACTTCATTTCCTTGATATTTCAACTTCACTCCAACTTCGTCATTATCGCCGACCGGTACGATCTTATACGGTAAGTGCTGGCAATAGTCTTTCACGAAGGGATCCGAGGCTTTTCTGCCGAGGAGTCTTTTGAAATTGAACACGATGTTTTTGAAGTTGGAGCCTGTCAGTTGGATATTCTTTGCATCAAGTCCCACTAATCTCACCTTGTCTGTAAAACCAACGTAAGAAGGAGTGCTTCTTTGAGAATACTCATTTGCTACTGTCTCAATTCCGCCCTGCTTTGCCACGGCGATGAAACAGGTCAAATTTCCAACGTCAAAACCCACGACAGACATTATTTCTAAAACAATGTTAAAAAATGTCTGTTATCTTCTATACTAAAACAAAAAATTCTCAGTTATAGGCATGAATCAGCTCATAAAAAAAATATTTAGTTTCGAGCATTGACACAGAGGCGAAGCTTCGCTTCGCAAACACTTGCGAGAACACGACTTAAAGCAGCTCTATAAAGATAAATAATAAAAATTAGAAATAAGCCTCAAATTGGTAACAATGCGGCTACCTCTGAAATTCGAACATGGGACCCAGATATAAAGAATCTCACGCACTTACCACTCAGCCACGGAAGCTTAATAGTCACCAAACACTAGCTTCAAAAAAAAACAGAACAGATGTTATGCAATTTCCAATGCTACAGTAAAAGTTCCTCATGAAAGAACGCTTTTAATGAACACTTTTATTTGCGAGTGAAGTTAGAAAAAAAAGGTTTGTGCAGATACACTAAGCTAATCGCAAGTGTAAAAATGTTACTAGGGATTTAAGCAGACCGGTTTTTTAGCAGGCCAATCTTGTAGCAGAGTCAGAACAATTAGCAAGCCAGAACGCTAATCTTAAATGCGATATTGGCGATAAGCGACCGCTTTCTCTGCTGCGTTAACATGCGACACGAGTGTTTTGTGCGCGTAAATCTGCATTTCATGTAAAAAAAATGCTAATTATTCCATTGACGGCTAAAACATTTAACAATCTAACTGACGATTAAACATCATTTTTGCTGGATCAATCAAGGTACAAATTTGATATTTGATACTCGTTCAAAGTATGGTCCCAAAAACTATCTATGTTCTTCATTATCAAACAAAAATGTTTTTAATGGCAGTTCATGTTTTGCCAGTGAATATATAGTTTTGATAATTTCATTTCATATTAAACATCAGTGGTAATATAACGAACATTTCAAATCTTTTGCATTGTGGTCTGGTAAAATGTTAGTCTGGTAAATTGTCGGTCTGGTAAAAGACCTTGCCCCTGCGAGTATATTACAAGTGTTCCGGCGGTATCGCACTTATGAACGAACTTTTGAATAAGACCCATAAAAACAGCCGGTACCATAATTCCCGATATTATAATTCCAACGTTTTCGAAAAAAATCCTTTAAATGCCTCTATCAGAGTAAACTCCAAATGAAATTCTAATAACTTACCGTCCACGTGATAAATCAAACAAACTGATAATCAGAAGGCTAGTAAAATATACGGCAAAATATGTAGAATTCTCCAAACTTTTGAATCTTATTTTGTAAATCTTCCACTTGAATGATGTGCGAACGTCTGACTATCTGCAGAGGACGTTATAATCAGTTGCTAGTAAAAGACAAACAACATTGAAACTATCATCATGATACATTCAGCACGTGAAAAGCATAGTTTAATCATGTCGATTTTTCCAGAAGATTAACAGAATAATCTAGAATTATAAGAAACTCTATTGCTTCCAGGAATTTTACTTCGAAAAATTGTAGCGAAAAAATGAGGAATTCTCTCAAAATTACAAAAAAATAATTGACGTTTGACGGAATCTCAGGTGCCAAAAATAATCATTAAGTGCCGTCTGAAACAGAAACAAAAATCAGAAATGCGCTAACAGCAAAAAAAAATCGACGAAAGAATAAAATAAATCGAAATAATCAAAATCATCCTCCATTCACCAAAAAAATTGTCAAATCAGGCGAAAATCTGGCGCATGCATATCGAAATTGTGCTTCCGATATACTGAAACAACTCCCCACAACAATACAACAGAAGATGACAATCTCAAAATTAAAGTTCCAAAACTGCATACACTGACAGTTATTGCCTCCTCTCGAAGCAGAGCAATTCATAACCATCGTCATAAGCGAATGAATCATTCTAGTTAACAAGAGCGTGTTTCCCATGGAATGGTTTCCAAGGTCTCATAGACCCAAGAAACTTTACCCTAAATTAGCCAAAATCAATTGTTTAATTTGCCTTTTGTCTGCAAAGATATCGAGGCAAAATCAATTCTCCAGTTACCGGAAGAATTGTAACAGTCGCCTACTTCGGTCACATATGAGGCTTAAGAAGAATAGGTCTCAAAATACCCAAAATACATGAAGTGTTTTGGGTATTTTGAGACTAATTGTTGTGATAAACTTATTAAATAGATTTGTTATGTTTGATGTTTGTGCCTGTATGTGGAGCGCCCTCTGAGGGATTTTAGAGACAGGTCTGTCAAGTGGCTTTCTGTGGGGAGGTGGGAAACTGAAACTGGCTTGAGGAGTCTGGTGGTGCGCCGCTGGACCTACTGAGCTCGGGTGAGATTGTTCCTTGTTTTTGATTTTTATAATTCAATTTTAAAATTTAAATTAATTTAGTTGTCTTTTTTTATTTGCTGATCTGTAAAATTCCCACTAACCGCTTATCATGGGTTAGTTCAGTCCCCTAAAGTCCAGTCAAAATCCTTTTTTTTACCTTTATGCTGCGTCAAGATGAGGAAAAACAACAAAGAGTAAACAAGCAAAGATTGCTTAAAACCTTCAGGACTGATAAATTGGATTAGATGTGATTGTTGTTCTAGTTGGTATCATATCAGTTGTGTAAATATTTCTCTTAGCGACTCTAAGAAAACCCAATGGTTTCAGTGTCCTTTATGCGTTGATCTAAAATCTGTTAATAAAGCAACAATAGGTAATGATTTAGTTCGAGACAATTATGTTAATACAGCCATCTCAAATGTCCGAGTACTCAAGAGAGTACCAAAAGACTCGCGTGTTCCATCGATTTTTGATTTTGTTCCTCTGCATTCGGCATCGGTGTCGACTCCGTCGTCTTCTTCTCCACCTCATCCACACTCTGGTCTGGTGTTTCTAGGTCAATCTCGATGGCGGGTTCCGTTTGTTTCCCTTCCGCGCCCTCTTTTGTCTGGTTCTCTTTAGTACTCCTTGTGTTGACCATGCTAACTGAAAAGTTCTTCTTTGTTATTCTTGGGCCAACCGATGTCATTTTTCGTTGCGACGAGTTATTTTTTGGCTTTGACTCTGTAGCTTTTTTTCAGCTATCGGTACCCTGCTCCGTCTCATGATTTTTATTTACAATAATTTCTATTTACAAAATTGCGATTTACAAAATCCTATTCTAAGAATGAAAAAAATTTTGATAATAAATATAATAATAAAGAAAAACAACGTTCCTATTCCCTTTAAGATTTATTAAAATTTTACTAATTCGTGATCCCAACAGAATCCGATCTATCGCGATTTAACGTTCCGACTAGTCCAATCGCTTTTGATTTAGTTATTTCGACCTGTCTTAAGACCCTCTAGTACCGTCACACCACTTCTTTGTACTGTCCCAACACTTCTATGTACTGTGCCAACACTTCTATGTACTGTCCCAACACTTTCTGGTACTGTCCCAAGACTTTCTGGTACTGTCCCAAGACTGCCTGTCCCAAGACTACTGTCCCAAGACCAGTGTCCCAAGACTGCCTGTCCCAAGACTGCCTGTCCCAAGACTGCCTGTCCCAAGACTGCCTGTCCCAAAACTGCCTGTCCCAAGACTGCCTGTCCCAAGACTGCCTGTCCCAAGACTGCCTGTCCCAAGACTGCCTGTCCCAAGACCGCCTGTCCCAAGACTGCCTGTCCCAAGACTGCCTGTCCCAAGACTCCCTGTCCTAAGACTGCCTGTCCCAAGACTGCCTGTCCCAAGACTGCCTGTCCCAAGTTTGCCTGTCCCAAGACTGCCTGTCCCAAGACTGCCTGCCCCAAGACTGCCAGTCCCAAGACTGCCTGCCGCAAGACTGCCAGTCCCAAGACTGCCTGTACCACTGTACCTTGTACTACCACTCGAGCTCTAGTAAAAATTTTCCCAAAAAAACCCAACCTTATTGGCCAAAAGTTAAAATCACCAACCCCCTTGTATTTATTTCCTTTTAATATTTGGACTCAAGTTGAAACCCAACTTGTTCTAGGTGTCTTGTGATCACCTGTTTGTCCAAAACCGATTAGAACTTTCTTCTCTAAAAGCGTCAAAGTTAACAGAGAGAAAAAAAATGAAAATCGATAAAAGCAAAAAAAAAGGTACCCACTTAAAATTCAAAGGTGACTTATGTCAACCCTTTATCTGGGGGTTACAAAGAAAAAATGCCTGGTGCCACGCGTTTTCCTCCCCCCTGCTAGCGATCTTATAGGGTATCACAAAAACTGTCTATATCCGTTACCCCCTCCCGATCCGACCAGGGTATCTACCTTAATTCGATGTTAAATTCGGATATCCGCTTCTTATAACCGACGCGTGTAAGAATCTAATGTAACTAAATCGACGATGCCGATCAATTACTTACTCTAATGTGTCCCCCCTTTTTACACTTTACAACCACCAACATCTAACCTAACCAGCCCCCCTTCTAACCTCCCCCTTCTTTAGCCCCCCTCTTAAGCCGAAAATTTCCTTAAGCGCCGGGTGCTAAACCTCTCGAGAGAAACCGTAGACCTGTTTCCAGGCCTGCTTGAGTAAAAACTTCCTCAAAACAATGGTGTTCCGCTTATCCAATTTTACTCTTATCTCCTATAATGTAATGTGGATTTTAACGATACCCGTTTGACCAACTTGAGAACACCCCGTCTTCTTTTGTTGCTCTGACCGTGCTGGCTGTTTCCTTGACTTGTCCTGCAGCTGATCACCAGCACCACTTTCCCACTTGGCTGGTCACCTGTTCCAGTCAAGTCTCCTAATGGTCCAGCTAAGTCCCTGTGAACCACTTTCCCACTCGACTGGTCACCTGTTCCAGTCAAGTCTCCTAATGGTCCAGCTAAGTCCCTGTGAACCACTCTCCCACTCGACTGGCCACCTGTTCCAGTCAAGTCTCCTAATGGTCCAGCTAAGTCCCTGTGAACCACTCTCCCACTCGACTGGCCACCTGTTCCAGTCAAGTCTCCTAATGGTCCAGCTAAGTTGCAGGCTATCTGAAAACCCTTCACAACGCCCCACACTCGGGCACCTTTCAGATTGCTGAAATGATCTAAACGATCGGTCTTATAAAAAAACAGTATGTGTATACTAATTAATTGATATAAAGGTTTGATCCAACTAATGCGGTGTCAAAGACACTGTCATTTTTTTGTTTTATAGTTTTTGTTCCTTTTTCTGTTCTTTTTCGGTTTTTGTTTCGCTTTTTGTCTTTTGCTTGTTTTTTTCGTCCCCCCTAGTTACCCCCCTTTACTCGGTTAGTTAAGCCTCGTTCGGAGAGCGTACCAGGGAGTTTTCTCGAGTTTTCCTAAAAAGCTTCGGTACAACCGGAAGGTTTACACGTTCCCGCTGAACCGTACCACCGGTACTCTAGAATGGGCATGTAGCCCGGAGTTGCGTCAAGTGGGTTCGACTCCGTAGTCATGATGTCGTAAAAAGGAGCGCCATAAAAACACTATGTAACAGTCACCTACTTCGGTCACATATGAGGCTTAAGAAGAATAGGCCCTATAACTATTGGCTCAAGAGTCAGGGACACGAACTCTCGTATTTTTCTACCTCAAAACAGTCGGATCCAATTCGTTTCGCTTGCGACATGAGACTAAAAACCCGTTACAGCTTAAAAGCCACTACCAAAATACCCCCACTCTAGAAAATAAGAAATTCCACATACTTAAGTCTCAAAATACCCAAAATACACGAACGCCGTTAAAAACAGGGTCGAAACAATCCGCACAGTTACTTTTTATCAGACAGTGAAACTTTGATCCATTTCAGATGGATCAACCTTATCTCAACATAACAATCATAAAACACACTCAAGAAAACTAAATTGAGAACTCACATGTAGGCACACTCGGGAATTAGAGGTAACTAAATTAATGAGCAACTCGAGAACTAAGTATGATAACTTGAGGAGTTTAATACTAAATAGTTTCAATAAAGAAAACAAGTTTTGACTCTAGTAATGAAGTTTTGGTCTGAACCATTGGGACACCCCAGCTGTCCACCTTTCCACTGAGGGTTCACTCGAATATTCTAGTTCAGCTCGAATAATCGTGTTCTTCTTTCGTAATCGTTTCTTCTCCTATTTCAGGATAAGACGGCTCTACTCGCGTTTATTTTTGTATCTGGAAATTGCGAATAGCAATTTCCCGCTGCTTTTCTAGGTACTTTCCCGCGATTGTAAATCGGATGTTCTGATCTTCTAAATAAATCTTCTTATGACTGAAGAATGCTTGAAAAAAGAGCATGTGAAACTTCACCATCTTCTTGCTCAATTTTGACATGAAAAAAGAGCCAAAAATGAAATCTAAAAATTACGGAGAACATTTGGTTGGAGATAACCGTTCAAATCTTGCGCGGTTTTTGAGAGTTTTTTTCTATGATAAACCGGTCAAATCGCTCCTTTTGAAGCAAGATTTTGAGCGCAATTGTCTAGAAATTAACCGCTCAAATCTTGCTTCAATTTAGGTGAAAAATAATCTTGAATCGGGAAGACAGAACAGGAAACAATTTGCAAACCAGCACACTCAGTCTCCGGTGGAACAAAAAAATGTACAGGAACAGTTCAGAGACTATCTAGACGAGCTATTACCATAATAAAACCAGTTTTTTGAGTCAACATTCAGGAAACTAAATCAAGGAGTTGATTTCTGATTTCACTTTTGGCTAACTGCTGTGACATTCGATCAGAATGTACAAAAATGCAGATTCAGCAGTTCCGAGTTTTTAGCAGCGAACTTTCCAAATTGGCGGTATTGAGGGAATAAGAGCGTTGTTCGGACGATTGGACAAATCGTGAAGGCTGAAGGATTCGGAAATTCCTAAATTTTAAAAATTCGAATTGATGACGTAATAATTCTAAGAAACGTCAAAAACAGCCATTTTGGAGAGAAACCAAAATAGACACAAACAACGATAGTTGCGACAACGACAACAACGGAAAAATTGAGAATTGGAATCAGAAAAATTAGAAGTAGCAGAGACCGCTCCGAGTTACAACTATTGTGCTGCTACAATAGTTGCAAGGTCGTTGCGAACAACGGTGAAGGGTGGACGACAGCCTTCCGGAAGGAGAATAAGAGTCTTATTTCCCCGGATTCAAGAATCCGGAGGGGTCTCAGGATTTGGACTGAAACTGTTTTATTTAAACTTTTAGCATCCCTACTACGCCCTGAGTTGAATTTAATTAACATCT